ACCCAATAGAGCATCTTTGGGAAGAGGTGGAACGGGAGGTTCGTGCCCTGGATGTGCATCCCACAAATCTCCATCAACTGCAAGATGCTATCCTATCAATATGGGCCAACATTTCTAAAGAATGCTTTCAGCAACTTGTTGAATCAATGCCACGTAGAATTAAGGCAGTTCTGAAGGCGAAAGGGGGTCAAACACCGTATTAGTATGGTGTTCCTAATAATCCTTTAGGTGAGTGTATATATGTCTGTGTATGATGGTGACTTTGGTCTCGTGAGTAAAATGTCATTATTTGGCTCACAAATGTTGCGAAGAGAAAGTAGATGTTGTGACAACCTATAATATCAAGTACAATACAAATCCAGGAAAAAAACCTACTTAAGTACAGCGATACTTTGTTACTTTACACCTTTATTAGCTTAATAAAAAACTACATTTCAAGCTTGAAAAGCGACACACACTGTGGGCCATTTAGAGACACAACTCCGCACAGCTGCACATTTTTGGACTGCAGGAGGAGACAGGAGAACCCGGAAGAAAGCCGTGTGATACGGGGAGAACCTGCACACACACGGCGGAGGTGTAAGCCAATAGGGCTCCCACGCTGTAAGGTGTCTGCAAAAGCCACCCAGGAGAAGAGCTGTTAGCTAGAGCAGAAGTGAGCTGCTCTGCCTTGGGAATCCCTCCTGTCTTCAGCCACCATGTTGATCGTCTGCTGGCATTCTGAGAGCCACAACGAGGGCACCTGCCCTCCCCAGCACGACCACCAAGGCTCGCATGGACCTCACTGGCGGAGGTGAGACACACTGAACCAGGTGCATAAACACATTGACTTGTGGTTGAAGGTCCGTCACCAAGGCTCACCAAGAGCACCACAAGCAAAGTTTATTATATCCTTAGATTTTCATGATCTTCAGATAGAGATAAGACAGTGATTCAGAGATAAGACAGTGGGGGTTGATTTTAGGGTGATATATAAAACATTCTCATAACTGCACTGCTAAGATGTCCCATGACTAAGCTCCCATCATCCAAGCAAAATCTCTGCTCTACTGTAGCTTAATCAATGGAGTAGTGGCAGGCTGGCTAATGACCAAATAAATGGAGAACTTTAGGAGTGACGTCACTGTTTTCAGAGTATGGGAAAGAATCAGAGTGGACTGGATGGAGACGGACAGCAATTGAAAAACATCAAATAGTCTATCGTCTGTTTAAGCCACCAGCTGAATAAATAGGAAGCAGACAAATTAAAATAAAGTTTGAAATTTGAATAGAGGAGATGTATAGGGAGCCTGCTATGCTTCTAACAGTAATGCAGAACCCCCCCCAGCTACCAAAGTAGCGTCTCCTGTGTCTCTGAGCACCTCAGGTTTATGCGGCAGCCTGATCACTATTATGAGAGTGCATCAGATGGAGGTGCTGGTTCACAGGTCCGAAGAGCCGTGGGTGAGACTTCCTGCAGGTGCAGCTGTGGTGTGAGCGGCTGTCGTCACGGTGCGTCGCCGCATATAGTCACCCGGGGCTGTCGGCTGCGCTGTGTCGCCTGGCCCGGGGCTGTCGGCTGCGCTGTGTCGCCTGGCCCGGCCGCAGGTCCCAAACCGCAGGCGCAGAATGACATCCCCCGCATGCCGCACTCGCCGTCTTGCCGTCGGGGTGAGGCGCGAGCGCGTGTATCTATGTGTGTGTACGTGACCTACCAATGTGAACGTGATCAGTACAGCGACGACAGTCAGATTCTCACGAACCCCACAACCACAGGGCATGAAAAACGTAATGAATGCCCTTTAATAACCATCGGATCCACATCCATGTGTACTGTAAAGGTGCAGTCGTGTGGGGGTGTGTCCAGATCCGAGCAAATTGTGCTGGCTGGAGAGTGAGGCAGCAGGGGGTGTCGTCATGTCAGAGAAGAAGCCCCCTTCTGTCTGTTTTATTAAAAAAAAATTAGGGGAAAACACAAATCGGGACACATTTACATGACTGACATGACAGGAGTGGCGTGTGGGTCTCTTTCCTGGATTTGCTGCAGTCCGTCACACAGCATAGCTGCCTCTGCTCTCCAGTCGAGCCCCCAGCAGCCAGGAGTCTGGCGACTTGCGGCCGGTGCTGAAGGATCCCGCTATCGAGCCAGACGCCAGGGACCGGGTGATGGACGGGTTCTTGAACGAGCTGTGCGCCCAGTCTGACCGTCGGCCAGAGGCCCAGCTTGGGGGTCGACTCAGGGCCCGGCTCGGGGGGCGACTCAGGGCCCAGCTCGGGGGTCGACTCAGGGCCCGGCTTGGGGGCCGACTCAGGGGGCTGGGGACATCCAACCTAGCGGGGAGGAAGAGGATTGACTCCACCTTTAGTTTTGGTATCGGTTTTACTATTATGTGTGTTTGTATGTATATAAGTGTGTATGTGTGTGTCTATGTGACGTCTTCGGCGCTGCACCTGACATCGTTGGCCAGATCTTCCTTCTCGGACTGTCGCTTGTCCCAGAGGCAGAATAGGAACCAAATAAAGAGGAGCAGCAGGAGCACCAGCAGAAGACCACCCACAAAGGTGCCCACAATCACACCCGACCTGTTAGGGGCTGCAGAGGTCAAAAGGTCATCTGGAGTCATGGCTTTACAGAACCAACTGTGTCTGTGTGTATCTCTTTTCTGTACCCCCAAAGCCCCCCGGCGATGAGTCTGTCATGCTTACGCTTGATGGCTTGCAGCCGGAAGCGGCATCGCTCGATCCCCACGGCATTACGCACCTCACACACGTACATGCCCTGCGTGCTTTCTGAGTGGTTGGTGATGAACAGCTCTCCCGTGACTGAGTCTGGGCCCGGGAATAAGAGCCATAATCACAATCGAATGGGGCTCCTTGACATCCAGGACTAGAAGCTTCTGATCATGGTTTAGCGGACTGACAATCTCAAGTGTAACAATCATAGTATGAAGTGCAGGCCACTCACTCTGTGTGACGTTGGAAGGAAGAAGCTCCTCGCTACCCTTCCGCCATATGTAGGAGAGTGGTGTCGAGCCCTCCGAGGATTGGCATTGCAAGGAAAGAGCGCCCCCTACCTTCTCACTCCCCACCAGCTTACACTTAGGTTCAGAGGGACGTACTGAAACACAGGCAAAAAAAGCCAATAATGAAGCTCACCAGCAGAGGGCGGTGTATGCGTTCAAACTGCAGCACTATATAGACAGAGGTCAGAATATAAGATCGGACTGAGAAAACAGCAGATTTATTCTAAAAATGGGAATTTGTCTTTCGTATGATAAACTCTGTTCTGACAGGCTTTGAAATGTCAGACTCAGAGAGCTTTCTGGAAGGTCGCCTTACCCAGCACGACCAGCGTGACCTTCCGTGTGTCCACACCTGGGCCCTTCTTCACTTTGCACTGGTAGGTCCCGGCGTCACTGGCAGCCAGGGAGGAGATCTTGATGGATGCATCGCCCTGGGACGGGTCGGCGGCGACGAAGTCCACTCCCTCCGCCAGGGCGCCGGTGCTGTGATCGTACTTCGTCCCTCCCATGAAGGACAGGATCTGTGACACGGACAGCCGGGGTCTGTGACGGCCCCACACACTGCGCAGTGCAGTGAGCTGGCTACACTCACCACTGGCACTGCTCTCTGTCTGGGAGTTTCATCACTTTCATCAGTGCTGTTCTCTTTTATTTATAAATCTGCACCAATTTCCACAAAGAGCAGAAAGGTTTTTTTTTTTAAAAAAAAACAACTCCATGTAGGTTTAACAAATACCGGAAATCAAATTAAACACAAATTCAGAGTGTGCCCACACCCCCCCCCCCCCAAAAAATCATGATGA